GTATGTTTGGTTATAAGGCGTACCATGGAACCAGGACCCAAGTTCTGGTTTGGTAAGCAGCGTCGTAAACGACCGGAACGCAGTGGAGGGAAGGGTCCTACAGAGACGGAGGAGACCGGAGTCGATGGTCCTAAACACCGGGGGCGAAGTGCAACGAGCCGAGGTGGGTCGTGGGGGATAACGTAGTGAGGGGGTCCCCACAGCAGCTTGTCTTCTGCATGAGGGTGGCGAGGCCACCCAGTTTGGGAAAACTATAAGAACCAGAGAGGTTCGCACTTTTTTTTGACATTGTCAAACTTTTTTCTTCTTCCATTCAACCAAGTGGTTGGACTGTTGCGACTCCGGAGCAACCCCACATTGTGAGTCCTTGTATCCCGCTGGGAACAACTGACCAGGCAGAGGTGGGAACCGGTGCACGAAACAAACAGGAGTGAGAAACGACGTGGAAACAGAGCGAAAGCGATTGTGTGAAACAATAACCCTGCGAGCAGGCAGCGAGACGAACAGAGTGAGAGAGTCGGAGACGAGAACCGATACGGAACAACACAACGGGGAACGTTGGATACTACTTTTGGTGCCGAGCATCATGGGTTTGACCCTCTTCCCTACACACGCCATCGGTGAGATGGATGATGTCCAACAGACAGACACGGAGTGCACCGTGGAAACATCGAACGGAGTAGGTGGTACTCCTTCGCGCTGCATGTACGCGGTGTGCTGCACGCATTCCGCTTGCCAACCACTGCGGGAGCAATTGTGGTGTCGATATTGGATTTACCTCGAGGGAGTGTCCGAGACGGCTCTGGATAAAGAGACATTTCCGGCAATGTTGACGGCCTGCTTGGCTGGTATTCCCTTTTCCTTTTGGGGTGCCCAATTCACAACAGAGAGTGGCCAGTGTGGCTATCGGCTGTTCTTGCATGCGTATGGCGCAGAACCCTTTACCCGGGGGAGCTTGAAGTCTCTGACGCGTCTGGCCACAGGGCCTCACGAGAACGGTCTCGACTTGCACTTGGGATGTGCTCTTCATTTTCAGTGTTGTGGTCTTTACCACCATGACATCCTGCCTGAGTATATCAGGGACATTCTGGAACCAGATAAGGTTCAAATCGGGGATGAGTCGTTGCGTCTGCTGTTAGATCCTCACCCGAATGAGAGGCGAGGGACTGAGCCATCTGAGAGTGGTGGAGCCCGGGTGGCGTCTTGCTTGTAGATCACCCGCTGTGGGTTGTCCCACACTTTCCTCTTTAGGAAGTCGTGATGGCTTCAATAGTGAAGCGCTTTCGTACTAGATAGATGGAGTGATGCAACGTGACAAAAAGTGAAATGGAATTGAATCCTGCAAAGAGCCTGGCTACCAATGGTGTGACATGCCAAGTAGGCTGTAGTTCAAGTGATACCAATGACAATGATCACCCCCGGAGGGCTGTTCATGACTACGAAAAGCCACCTGCAGGGTTGCGGTCTATCGAGTGCCCGTAAGGGCGCGAGGATAGACTGTTCAAGGGCCACGAAGAACAGGAAGGAGCGTCGTAGGCGCGACTGGACACTACATAGAACGAACAAAAGACGAGGGCTTTTGAACAAAGTGAGTGCGTGAGCACGAACGATGTGAACAGGACATGAACAAAGTGAATGAATGTCATTCCCCAGCCAATGAGACGGTGGTGCCGTCCATTGGACAGTGTGTGTCGAGCGGATGCGAGATTGCACACGGTGACACGTACGCCTTATTGTTCGAAGAGGGCCAGTGCGAGGCATCTGGTCCGATGAGTCTGTATGTTTGGTTATAAGGGGAACCATGGAACCGGCACCACGGTCGGTTCTGGTGAGCTACGTCACTAGGCACCCGGAATGAACATGGAGGGATGCGGTCCTACGTTTACCCGACAAGGTGGAGGAAAACGGTTAGTAACAGCTGGGCGAACGGACTGAGACAGCTGGTTGGTGGGATACGCGCCAGCGACAGGGGCCCACTTGTGCTCGTCACAACAAAATCCCATGCGACCGCGGCGGGAGCAATGGAAAGGTGTGGAACACCAAGTCGGGAGACATATAAATAGGGCGGGTGTCGACCGTTTCCCATTCAACCCGCGGACGGGTTTTTCCATTCTTCTTGTCTTTGGCCTGTTGGGCCACGATCTGGGAGGCACGTCAGTGTCATCTTTTGGTTCTCTTCTTTGTTGACAAAGAAGTGTTCTTGCCGTCATTCATCCAAAATTTTTGGATCCGACGTGGTCTAATACGCTCGAGACGAGCACACAGCAAACGGAGTGGTTCTGCGGTGGTACACGGGGTGTCGTGTACGATTTCACATGATGAAGGTCATGGTGGACTTGGACAGGGCCGAGAGCCCTGCCGTGCGTCT